ATTTGTGGATGCTACGAAGTTGTTCAGGGTGGTGAAAACCAGTGAGGATTGTGAGGCACTCCAAAGGGATCTGTCAAGGATGGGCAAGTGGGTGTCAACATGGCAAATAGGGTTCAATGTGGCCAAGTGTAAGGTGATGCACATTGGAGCCAAAAATCCTAAATATAAATACACATTGATGGGGTCTGAACTTGCAGAGACTGATCAAGACAGAGATCTTGGAGTTGTAGTAGATAACTCACTGAAAATGTTGAGAATGTGTGTGACTGCAATAAAGAAGGCCAATGCTATGCTGGGGATTATTAGGAAGGGTATTGAAAACAGATCACCCAATATTATAATGCCCTTATATAAATCAATGGTGCAACCTCATTTGGAATACTGTGTGCAGTTCTGGTCACCACACCTTAACAAGGATATTATAGCTTTGGAAAAAGTGCAGAAAAGGGCAACTCGAATGATAAAAGGGTTGGAACACTTTCCATATGAGGAAAGGTTAAAGCGCTTAGGGCTCTTTAGCTTGGAGAAATGACGACTGAGGGGAGACATGATTGAGGTTTATAAGATTATGCATGGGATAGAGCAGGTAGAGAAAGAGGTACTTTTCTCCCTTTCTCACAATACAAGAACTCGTGGGCACCCCATGAAATTGCTGAGCGGTCGGGTTAGAACGGATAAAAGGAAGTACTTCTTCACCCAAAGAGTGATTAACACATGGAATTCACTGCCACAGGAAGTGGTGGTGGCTACAAGCATGGACGGCTTCAAAAGGGAATTAGATAAGCATATGGAGCTTATGCTAGGACTAGCATTTAAATGCCTTAGAATTGGAAATGAGCAGTGCAGTGGCCAAGTTTGCAGCTGATACCACAATATCCAGGATGGTAAAAACCCAAGTGGATTGTAAACAGCTATAGGGGGATCTATCAAAATTGTGTAAGTGTGGAACAACGTGGCAAATGAGGTTCAAAGTTGATAAGTTCAAGGACATACAAAGTACAACAAAAATTCTTACTTTAAATATATGCTGAACTGGTTGAGAACAAAACTGAAAGATCTTGGGGTTCTAATGGATAAGTCAATGAAAATATTGAGGCAGTGTGTGGTAGCAGTGAAAAAGGCAAACTACATTCTGGGGATTATTAGGAAGGGGACTGAGAATAAAATGGAACATTTGTTCACTTACCATGAAATCCCCTTCTCGGGGTTCCTAGGGTGGGACAGTCATTACTAAAGGGAAGAAACTCCTCCCTGGAGGCAGTTACGGTTACTAGCCTTCTTTGTGGACTCCTGGTGGGAGAGGTTTCTCCCCCAGTCTCCTAGACTGGTCCAGAAATGATTAAACTTACTTTACTACAATCATAGATCAGCCAACTCCCATAACTATAAAACATGTTACCTTCAAACAGCCATTAGGAGTAACCATAAACACAGAAACCTGTCAGATACAGAAGCCCAGAAGAGGACACCACTGGACTAGAACTAAGTAAATCTAACAGTCCATCTATTCCCAAGAAATCCTCCAGGTTCTCCCCTTGGGACAACAAACTGAAGGTGGGTACTGTTATGCTCATGAGATGTATGCTGCATTGAAGCTGACCGAGGATCCCCAATACTTTGAGAAACTATATGCACTGTATTCTTGGTGCTTGGGGGAGGGGGGAACAGTGGGAGGGCTTCTAGTGTCCTGGCCCCACTGAGGGACCTCCTGATGGCACCTGGTATTTTTGGCCACTGTGTGACAGAATGTTGGACTGGATGGGCCATTGACCTGATTCAACATTGGCTTCTCTTATGTTCTTAATACTTGTTCCCAGGAAAAAGAGCTGCAGAATGGAGGAGCTTTTTCTCATTAGTGACTGCCCCACCCTGGACCACTGAATTACAATCAATATTGTAATGCCATCATCTAGAACAATGGTGTGCTCATAACTGGACAACTGCATACACATCTGGCCACTGTACCTCAGAAAGGATACAGCAGAGCTGGAAAGGGTACAGAACAGGGCAACCAAGATAACCAAGGAAGTGGGAGCACTATGAGAAAAGGGTAGGGAGTCTGAGACTTTTGAGTTTAAAAAGGTGGCTATGGGGAGACATGATAGAGGCTTATAAAATTATCCAGGACAGACAAAAGGAAATAGGGATTTACTTAATAAGTTATTAAATTGTGGAATTTGCTGCCAATGCATGCAGTGATGGCCACAAGCATAGCTGAGATTAAAAGGGCATTAGATTCAGGATGATAGGTCTATCAATGTCTACAAGCTATGGTGAGTTGAAGGAAATTCCCTTATAAGAAGCAGTAAACCTCTAAAATTGAATGCTAGGAGGCAACATCAGTGGAGGCCTTTGGCCTGTATGTCCTGTTTGTTGACCCTCCAGGGCAACTGGCTGACCACTGGTCTGATCCAGCAGGGTTCTTATCAAAATGGGAGCACCTCCTCCCCCAAGATTAATGGGACAGTTCTCATTCATTGGATCTGAAGTGGCACATGTGGGTTCAGATCTCAAACCCAGTGGAACTGAAACTGTACAAGATTGCTGGTTTGAAAGAAGATCATCCTTGGTGTTGGAGTTGGATGTGCTGTCTTCCAAAGGGAAACATCATTTCTACCCTTGCATGTAAACTGTTTATGGGCAGAAATCTGGTAATCACCCAATCCATTGTTTGTGATAATCTGACTGTTATTTCTGCCTCATACTGTGAGCGTTTTTAATAAAGGGTGGGATATAAGTCAAATGAATGAATGAATGAATGAATGAATGAATGAATGAATGAATGAATAAAAGTAAATATAAAGCTTCATGTCTTTCCTATAAGGAATGTCTTCCGAAATCTCATTAGCAGTCTTATACTTGTCCTGTGAGCTGAATCCCAATGCACCTTCTTTTCATGGAAGCAAAGGGAGAACTGAGAGATGAGTCACTTCCCTCTCCTCTTCATGTAACCCAAAGATAGGAAAACCCTTTGGAGTGGAGATGCAGCATGCCTCACACTCCAGTAAGCTCTAGGATTTTCTGTTGCTGGCTTGCACATCCACAGTTCCAATGTACAACAGCACATAAAACCTTAAGGGGAGACACTGTAGTCCTAACTCTTACAGCTTTCATTTGTCTTTGAATAAATATCTACATAGGTGTGAGTGATATTTACAATGGATGTGAACAGACAGCAATACATCTCACATGACTACTTCTATTTAACATTTATTACAATGGGCGCTAATCACCTTTCACAGTTTCCTCTCTTCCAAACAAGCCTAGATTTATGTCCCATTCTCTTCATTTGCCCAACATTACCACAATATAATGCAGGTATTACTACCTTCTTCCAAGTCCTACTTTACCATTCATGACAAAAAAGCTTCATATGCTGCTTATATTTAAATCCATTTGCACAGATAACAATAATTTGCAAATCATGTTAGTACAAGTGTACAAGTGAGAGTAACCAAGCGCCTAAGAATGAATCTGCAGGGATGCTAATAGTACAGTTTAAACTGTTATGGAACCTGCCTGTTATCCAGTTGCATTTAGATCCATGACTAACTAAATATTAATCCCCAAGAACGATGACAATCTAAATCCAGGACTATACATGTTGTATTGCTAGTTCAACAGTGCACCACTAAATCAGCATTTATCAGAATTATTACTCCTTAGATCAGGGTGGCCAACTTACTTGACGTAACAGCTACATAAACATCAGATGTTTGAGAGCCGCAAGACATGAACAAATATTACGCACACATTTTTATTGAAAAATATGCACACTTGCTTTTTATTAACATTAAACTAGACTGTATGAAAGAGCCACGTGGCTCCCGAACTGCAGTTTGGCCACCCCTGCCTTAGATCCTAACGTTTTGCATCTATTCATATTCAGTGACAGAGGTTTCTATAATTCATTGCCATTTGCAACAGTATATTTTATATAACTGAAATTGGGACATATACCACCAGTGTATTCCACAGTTGTTGATCGATGTCTGTAAACAATTTTCTCCTTCCACAATTAAAAAGTAACAGCATATTAATTTTCATTAACTTCCAATAAAAGTTTTACAAAGAATTTCCAAATAAAAAATAAAGGATTTAGACCACCAGGACACATTATGTGAGAAATCATGCTTCTACATATCATAACTGCAATTTAAAATACATAATGAAGAAGCATACGTATACAGAACTAAAGGATGTACCTTGGAAGGAACAGAAGCATTTGCTGATTTTCTTAACTCAGAATCGCTTTTGGAGTCTGTTTCTGAGCTGGAGTTTGAAGAACTTTCCTCATCTGAGCTAGATTCTGAGTTTGAAGAACATATTACTTTTTTAAACTTCACTTTCTTTTCTTCTGTATCTTCAGAGTCACTAAACATAAAATAAACATCCACTATTAAATTCCACCTGGAAGTGTTTGATATATAATAGAAACAGCAAATTCCTTCAGCATTCTTTATTAACAATATTTTCAAAAACTAGTATCTTTGAGGATTTGTTTACAATTCACAAGACTGAGAATATTATAGCAAATTCATATGGGCTCCCCTTCCCTCCTCCATTGTGCACCCTTCTCTCTTACAAAATCCTGACTTATGGTAACCATAATGTGCCATGAAGTCCAAATCAGGGGGAAGGGAGATGAAGCAGCATAGCATAGGAGCCCATAGCACATTTGATTACTTGTCCAGAATGTCTGAGCCAGAACCATTTGTTATGCTCTACTTGAAA